GGCGAGGCGAGGCAGCCCCGGGAACCGGCTGCGATTCGGCCCCTGCCCCGCGCCCGAGACCTCGCGGACAGGTCTCCGGCAAGGGCGCAGGGAAGGGCCAGGCACAAGCTCAGGCCGCCCGGGGCCGGGGCTCCCGCGATGGGGGCGGATGGAACCAGCTCCCGCGGCGCCACCTCACTCCTACCTCAGCCGGGGCCTGCTCCAGAAAGGAGGAAGGAAGAGCGAGGAAGGGTCACGGCGGCGCTAAACCCTTCCGGGGCAAAGGAGGCGTGCTGTGCGTGGTGACGTCGTGCCACTCCGCTGCCTCCAAACACGTCATCACGTTGCCTTTGCTCTTAGGCGAGCTTCGAGCAGGGGGTGTGCGCCGGGGGGGCGGAGGAGGGAAAGCAGGCCCGGCTCATGCGGGGAAGGGGCGTGTCTGTGAGTGCAGGGCTCCCCTCCCTCCTGTGTGACGTCATTAGTGCCCGGGCGCCGGTCCCTGCTGTTGCCGTGCGCCTCGTGGGTGAATGGCGCTGCGGGGTGCAGGGGGCAAATAAGTAGCAGGGAAGGAGGGGGAGGGGATGCGGGAGGGGATGCGGGGGGAAGAGGGAAAATCTTGTCAATGAGGCGGGTCTAGCCGGCAGCACTTTTCCCGGGCACGGAGGTGTCCCGAAATAGCAAGGAACCTGTCCGCTTTTTAGGAAAATGTTTTCAGAAGCAGGGACATGCTCTTTGCCATCCCTGTACGCCTCGTTCTAGGAGGAATAAGGGATGGCTCGAAAGAGAACTTCCTTTCGCAGTTTGGTGCCGGGTGGATGCGCCAAATTTCGAAAGAGCCTCTTTCAAAAGTAAATTGAGATGAGAGGCAATTCGCGTACTGCAAATTGCGTCTCTTTTTCAGATGTAACAGCGCAGTCTAGATGTAGCTGTAGAGTGTGCAGGGCTGACCTGTGAGCCTAGGCAGTTGCCTAGGGTGCCACTGGCCTGGGCGCCCTATGATGACCTCACGGGTCACCGGGGTGCCCCGTGATTACGTCACAGCCATTTGACGGTCGTGCAGGCGGGGGCGCTGATCGCGCCTTCCGCCTGGGGAGCCAGCTGCCGCAGCCGGCCTTGAGCCACTCCTGAGAGTGTGGGTGCTAAATGCGGCTGATAGAGCAGGCTGTAAGTGCCCGGTACTAGCGTTTGATGTCATTAGGGTGTGGAATGTAGCAACCAGTTCAGGTCATGTAGAGAGAGTCAACCTTGACGGTCGTGCAGGCGGGGGCGCTGATCGCGCCTTCCGCCTGGGGAGCCAGCTGCCGCAGCCGGCCTTGAGCCACTCCTGAGAGTGTGGGTGCTAAATGCGGCTGATAGAGCAGGCTGTAAGTGCCCGGTACTAGCGTTTGATGTCATTAGGGTGTGGAATGTAGCAACCAGTTCAGGTCATGTAGAGAGAGTCAACCTGCTCCATCCACATTGCTAGGCTCTCACGCCCCTCCAGGGCCCCAGTTCTTGGCTAGTGAGAGTTGAGGTTGGCAGTGCCGGTTTAAAGTCATTTTGTAACCGCTGAGTTGACTGGTTCCCCTGAAACATTTTACGTGGGGCATGCACCGCCGCTTGTAGTGGGGATGGAGATGGGGCTGCGTGAGCCCTGTGGGCTGCTGGAAGTGAGGTTGTGGGCAAAGAGTTAGTGGCCTTGAGACTGGTACATGGCAGAGGTGTCACAGCGCAGCTCAGGCTTCGACACACCCATGACCCTGTCATTGTGGCAGGGGCAGCTGGGCCATAATAGAGCGAGCTCCCAATGCTGCTCACATATGGAAGAGCTGGAGGGAGGGAGGCAACCTGGGAGGGCAGTGGAATTATTAATGTTATGCATTGTTAGGCCTACGGGTGCCACTGCAAATGTCTATGCGGATGATTATACTTGGGTAAGCCAGTGTTATTTCAGCTTAGCATAGGTCAGTTAGAAACAGGTTTTAAGTTAAACTAAAATAAACCACTCATCAACAGAAATGAGTGTATCGGTTTGCACCAGTTTGGTGTAAATTTGTAGAAAATTCTCCAAAGCCCACTTTCATTGCTGTGCTGCTGTAGTTTATTTAAGGATCAGGGGTGAGAGTAACTTAAATTTCATACAGGTACCGTCCTATCACAACCTGCCCTCCTTGAGGGGGAGTGGTGATACAACAGTATCTTTAAAAAATGTAAGTATGGGGTGGAGTGTGGGGGGCTCAGGGCAGCATACGTGTGAGGGTTTAGGACAGGGGTGGGAACCTTTTTTGGGTTGGGGCCACTGACCCACACAAAAAATCAGTTGGGGGCCGCACAAAAGTGAGAAGAAAAAACACCAATTAACAAAAAAAAAAACCTCATTGATGTGGCCCCCAGCTGAGAAGCAGAAAGACACTCCCCACATTCCACCCACACACCAGAGTCTAGGGGGGCCTGAGCTAGTAGATATTGTGGGCACCCCTAGACTCTGGGATCAGACCAAAAATGGAGGGTTCGGTGTGTGGATGGGGGCTGCCAGTAAGCAAGCTTGGGGTGTGGAGAGTTGGTGGATCTGGGAGGCTGGAGGGTGAAGGAGTGGGATGGGGGTTGGTGAGTATGGGAGTCTGGGAGGGGTGCGGGAGTTAGGGCTGGAGTATGTGAGGGTGCAGGAGTTAGGGCTGGAGTGTGTGGGAGTTCAGAGCATAAGGGGTGCAGGATTCAGGGCAGGGGACTCAGTGTGTGTAGGGATAAGTACATGGAGGCCAAGCACACCATTTCAGGCGGTATGGGGCCTGCAGCTTCACATACCAGGTTTTTGTTGCTTTTCCTGCTTCCTCTGACTAGGAGCAAGGGGAAAGTGCAGAGCCAGCTATGTTCCTCTCACTCCCAACTGCTCAGGGGTGGGGCAGAGGAGGAATAAAGCAGGCTCTGTACTTTCCTCTTGCTCCCTGGTCACTGGAAGCAACAGGGACCCAGTATGTGCCACTGCAACCTTCCTGCCCTCCCAAAATCTGGGAATCCCAGGGCTGGGGCAGTCCCAGGGGGTGGTGCCCCCAGCCAGACACTTTAACCTGCCTGGCTGCCTGTTGTTGATTGCAGCAGCTTCCAGGAAGCCAGGGGCTGGGCTGCCCTGCCCCTCGCACTGCACCTGAGTGCTCCAGCATGCTGGTGGGCTTGTTGCTGGAGCACCACACCTGGGTGAACCAGCTTACCTTCACCTGGAGCAGTGGGTGCTGTCTGAGGTTCTCCATTCGGTGTCACCATCTGGTTCCCTCATTTTAAACCTTTGACTCACATCCCTTGATCTTTTTTTCATCGTTTGTCCCCCAGAATTAGTTGGGCCCTGGGTCCAATCGTCCCTCCTGCAAGGCTTGGGGAGGGGCTTTTAGAAGTGGGCAGACTGGTGCCTACCCACTCCCCCTGAGTTTCCAAATAGTACTTTCATCTTTGTTAAGGATGGGTGTTGCTAGCAAGGCTCTGATACGGTTTGCCTGTCCACTGTTTTCTAAATGTGTTGATAAAGCTTTGCTAAGATTCCCCCTTCTCTGCATATAGCACTATTTCAGAACATTATGGTAAAGGTTTAGGTTTGATAGTCTTTTAATAACCTTGTACTCTTTGCTCACTGAAATTATCTAATGTACCTATATATCTCAGTTTTTTATTCAAATAGCTTTTACATATCTGGTGGTTATTGTTATTTGTAACCTTGATGATATGGATGAAGCTACTTTCCCTGAGCTAGCAAAACCATCCCAAAAGTAGGCTGCCACTTGGCAACCCCAGCTATTCGTTTGATAGATATTACTGTTTGGCTGTGTCTAGACTGTATCCCTTTTCCGTAAAAGGGATGCAAATTAGACACATTGTAATTGCAAATGAAGCGGGGATTTAAATCCTCCCCCCCCGCTTCATTT